GAGAATTCGTGTATGAGGTATAATAAATCTAAGTTGGTTGGCAAAATGCTTAATATGACAGATTGCACCCAGAAAGTTGTAAGTGAAAAATACAAGTTAGAGAATACTTACCTCGATCGCGTGTAGCATGATTAATAGCGACCCACGGGTTTCCCTAACTTGGCAACTTTTTCTCAAAATATTGGTTATGTGACGACATCAAAAAGTTTTCGCCAGAATTTATTATTCTTATTGACGTTTCTAAGTACGTTTAATACTTTGGAAATAATGCCCATTCCAAAGGCGGTTTAATAGGTATAAGATATTTTTAAATGATATTTCAGTCAAAAATTGCTTTAGTAGAGCAATGTAAACACCTAAATTCAATATCGACTTCAGTGATTGACACATCAATTGCCTCGCATCGGCACTCACTTACAAAATCTCTAAAAGAAAATATAGAAAATAAAAAAAACTTTATTATACATATTAAAAGAGATTTCCCTAGCTGGGCACTAGGCCTAGAGTGGGCACTAGGATTCCATGTGTCGTGGGCAGTAGGGATGTTATGGAGCTCCGTAACCGTAACCGAAATAATCGGATATCCGAAAAAAATATATATCCGTAACCTTAACCGTATCCGTTTCACAACTTTCGGATAGTTTCGGATAAGGGCAGAGTCCAAAATCTAGATAAAACTACATGTTTCGACAGGCTCTTGTTAATGGTTTCATTTCTCACAAAAATAATTAAAAAGAAAACATTTAATATGTTATACATAGGTTATAAGTTAATATGTGCAATGTATAAAGCTAAATGTTTGTATAAACTATTAAATTTATTGCACTTTTATTTTAATAGATAAAACTGAGGAGGTTTATAATAATTACTTACCTATATTGACCGATTATAATACCAACTGATAACCTAGACTAGATAAAACCTATATATAAAACTAAATTATATACTATTTGTGTTTATATTTTACTTCAAACTAATAACCGTAACCGAAACTATCCGAAACTAACGGATAATCCGAAATAATTACATATCCGTAACCGTATCCGAAACCGATATAATTTTATTCCTATATCCATATCCGTATCCAGATCCGAAATATCATATCCATAACATCTCTAATGGGCAGCTACCAGCTAGTCTCTTCCATTTGACAAATTAGTTATTTTAGGTACTTGACTTATAAATTCATAAAAATAAACATAGTGTTTGTTGTAAAATATCATGAGTAGTACATATCACATCGTTTCGATTGGATGTGACCATTAAAATGGACAAGGAATATGCAATTCGAAGAGGGAAACGTCCCTCTTAAGTGCTCGAAGAAAATTATTTGGCCAAAGAAGTTATACTTCTTAATATATTTAGGTAATAAAGGCGTAATAATTTAGAACGCGTGTAGATAAGTACATACACGTTTTTTTTTTGTTTTCTAGTAATCATTTTCACTATATAGGTTAAGAATATTGTAAATACATACTCTTGTGTGCATAAAATCTATACAAAATATATTTAATCTGTAGAAACCATGTGTAATTTAACGAAATGTAATTTATACAAAATGATAGATAGTGAATCTAGGCGATTAGAAACAAAAGTAGGGTAGGGCGGGGCTAGTTGAGCAATTTTTCACTTGCTTGGATATAGCTCCTCAATGATAAGTCTCAATGAGTTGTTATGTGTCCTGATGGATTAGTAATTTATCCCTTAACAAAAGTGTCCATAGTATTTTTTTTGTAACAAGTCCAATATAATAGCTACAGATGTTTAAATGCAGAAAGTCAAGTATGCTCAATGTACCCCATAGGTGGGGTAAGTTGAGCAAGGGTATGGGGCAAGTTGGGCACTAAGAATGTCTAGGCCAAACCATGGGTTCTATGTTAACTTGAGATGAAATAAAATATGTGTTAGACAGTCAGCTTTTTGTTTATAGTCTTTTATTGACAGAACAACAAAATTTGAAGAAATTTTCTTTGTATAATTAACCGAAACTAGAATCAACAAAACATGAGCATCCATATCTATCCATTACTTCCGATAATTTCTAAAAAAAGATTACCAAGGCTGGTGGGTTCTGGTTTCTGTATGGATAGCTACGATTTTTTGTTTTTAAAACATCATCAACCATTCTTTTCCGGAAATCTTTTTTTGCAATTCAGCTTGGTGGAATTTCAGCACACTCTTAGGCAAGGCGACGGACGTCTTTTTGGAGAAAAATGCCATTTGCAGCAAGAATTTTTTCAACAGTTCTCTTGTGAGAGAGGATATACTTCCCTCGGTGTTGTATAGCCCATAAATGAATCATCACCTTCATTTAATTTATTTAAAAGTCAACCAATTCAGAATTCTTTAGCGGCGGTATTCACACTTTTTCCCTCATCGTGGACAGCCTTTGCAGCATTATTTAAGTATTCAGTAGTGTAAGAACATCTTGTAGTCTTTCTCTTGTAAGTCCGCATCCAAACAAAAAATAAAAGATTCATTACTCATCAGTTGTTTAAGTCGTAGAGTTAGTTGAGCTATAGTTGCTCAACTTACCCCAACCCGGAATTTTAAAAGAAAAGTAGGATTGTAAATAAATGCCTAGAATTAGACCCAAAACCTATTTACAAATCAAAAATACAATAATCTTCTGAAAGATTAATACTCTCCTGATTGAAAACAGAGAACATTTGACAAAGACAGACGAAAACTTGCGATAAACAATGTTTTTACTTTTTTGGTCACAAAATAAACAAAACGCCGTGACACTTCACTCACTCGTCGAGCTGCCACTAGCTATTGTGCGATGATTACCTCTCCTACCACTCCTTCTTTTCGCTATTTGATACTCCCGCGTAAGGTGAATAGTTTCCGAGATATTTCGATTGCCCAACTTGCCCCTATGCTCAACTAGCCCCGCTCTACCCTATTTATCTTTTTTGTTCTTATCGACTTTTTGCGAGCATTGTTACATTGAATAATGTTAACGAAACATTCACAGAAAGAATAAAACTGATCTTCACTTTAATAGCTTTTACACTATCGAAAATAATTATATTTCAAAATTCTTTCTTTCTTTTCAATGGCGTGTACTTCCTTACATACGAGTATACCTATCTGAAGTTTCACTCCGTGTTCTATTTGTTTTTACTCTGTTAAGTTCGAGTGCCTTACAAAGTTCCCTAAGTTAAGACAAAGCACCGAAGTGTCTTATAGAAGCCGAATGACGGTGCTGTCTTGTTATTCCGGAATCCAATACTTCCATTAGTTGAGACAGAATGAGTAATGATAGTCAAAATTACGTTTTAGACTCTTAATATTTTTACGTATGCCTACCAACTATAGCACGAAATAGATAGGGTTAACCAACCGCTTTGATTTTTAATCTTTTAAACACGCTTCATCAACGATACGTTGAAGTTTGGCCGACGTACATATTTCAGGAACAATAGTTTTGTGTTGGATAAGCCACAAATGGACTTTATTCGACCGAATAGCCGCGGCTGATGTCTTAGGGAAGAGGTCTTTCTATAGGAGGTTGAAGTTGAATTAAAACAATTTTTACAAAAATAATAAACTTTATTAATTTTTTAACGATATGGTAGCTTACACACTCTACTCTAATTTAATTACTAAAATGTTATAGCTAAACTAAAACAAATGCATTTATCACAAACATTAACTCCATACTAGTACAAAATGGTATTGTTACGTAATTATGCTTTTATAATAATATAGTGACTTTTTAATATTACCGTCGATTATCGCGTATATAAATAAAAATTTAAATGTTTTAATCAAAACGATTTTGGAATGTCCCATAGATATCTAGAATTTTCTAATGTAGTGTGTTTGCAGCAGCAGTCTTAATAAAATTTCATACATGTTGCAGTTCTCGTGAATTATAATAATTATAGTATCGATAAACAATTTATTTTACGACAAGGGACAAATCATATAACTTTTGTCCCAGAGATGTCTAGAATTTTCTATTGACATGGTTTTGGTCAATTGCCAGCTCGTTACATGCAATCAACCAATCAAAGACCAGGATTTTAAATTTCGAAGAGAAGTATGCTTGGATGCATACACTACATTGGACATTTAAGAAATAGAAATTACAATTTTGAGCACTTTTTTATTGTAGAAACTAAATAAAACCTATACCCGACTTTATGATACATAACTCGAAGCGGTGAGTGCCTAACCCTAGTAAGTTGTCAACGTGAGCAATCTCACTGAATTTTTGATATGGCAATCCATATCAAAAATTCAAGTTTAAACGGAATAAAATAACTCTATTATTACAAGTGTAAAATAAATTTTATATTTAAATATGGCGCTGCACTAAGTACTAAGGATACACCATAGTATAGTTTTTGAAATAAAATATAATTTCTAGATTCTAGTCGTAATTGTATTAAAATCGATGACGTAATACAAAATCGTGACTAGCGTCTGCAAAGAAATTGTTACGAATATGCTTAAATCACTTTACTAAAAAAATTACTCTAAATATATCTAATATGATAAAAAATTCTCGTGTCGCGGTGTTTGTAGTTAAACTCCTCCGAAACGGCTTGACCGATTCTCATGAAATTTTGTGTGTATATTATTGTCTGAGAATCGGACAACATCTCTTTTTCATCCCCTTAAATGTTAAGGGTAGTCGACCCCTAAATTATTATTTTTTTATTTTTAGATAATTTTTTTAATGATACAGCATTAAAAATACATACAACCCCTAATTTTCACCCCTTTACGATCAACATCTATTTTTTATTACAAATGATATACATGGCAAAACGACGTTTGCCGGATCAGCTAGTATTTATACATATAGTTTCGATTTAATTAAAACACTTTTAAATTCTTGAGACTGGAAACATAAATATGACCAGATATTACTTATAATTATGCATTTTAATAAAGCGATTTATGATGAAATTAAACAAATTTTAATACAAAGAATATTTTATAACGATTTTGTACAAGGTAGAGTTTTTGTAACTGCATAGATCCTATAGCTCGTCTCGTCTGCGCAGTGCGAGATCGTCATGCTGGAACCATGTTGCATATACTTTTAAAGGGTCGGGGGTTGAATGCCGGTGGAATGATATAGGACGGTCCCGAGCAAGCACTTCTCGCGGGTAATCTTGGGGGCGAGCCTAATATAAAAAAATGTTTTATTATATGTATAATATTTTGGACAGTCAAGGGCGTCCTTGTATTAAATGTCATTTAAATAAACTAGGACGCAATTCTGCTTGGCTTCAGCACAAATTTGAGCGGAGCGAGTGTTCAACTCAATTTTTAATGATGAGTAAAAAATACATAGATTCAAAACATTTAATTTAAAGATTTGATTTTGTTGAAAGGACTTTTTAGTTTTAGGTCTCATTTGAAGTTGTTTTTCCGCTTATTTTGTGATTTATTCGTAAATATTATTGAGTTTTTATAGCCTATAGCACGGGAAATTTTTCCATCTTTAATTTAAAAAAAAAATTTTCGAAATCGGTTAAGCCGTTCAAAAGCCTTAGTGTTTGTACAGAGTGTCATAAGAGTGGGCGCATGGGAGCCCAATTAATATTATAAGACTACTAAAAAAATTTCAAAAATCAATAAGATTTTTGCTTCGGAGTTTTTCGTTACAATTTTTCAAGATGATATTTTTCAGAAGATTATACGATTCTTTAGTTTAACATACACTATATAAACCAAATTTAAATATATGAAAAAAATCACCTGATGGAAAAGCGGTGAATGTGTGAGGGGCACTCGTAAGCGATGTGTTGCGCAGGCGCCGAGCGTCATATCGTCTGGTGCGCTTAGGGATGCGCAGGCGCATTGAGATAGAAGCTTAGCTGCGCCAACGCTTAGCGCAGTACCGCCACCCCCCGTTATGTAATCGTATCCTTAGAAACATTTTGTAATCTGTTTAATAGATATATCTTAATTCAAATAGTTTGTTAAAGTTTATTTTGCACAAAACTTTTTTTTTTGTATAAGTCACTTGAACGTTATCAGTGCATTTATTTAATTTGTAATTTATGTTAAAAAAGTTTGCTAATGGACATTTCAATAAAACCTTATATCTAGAAATAAATAAATAAAAACAAATTGTAAACCCTTTAACAGACAAACAACCTGCTTCATACTAACTTGTAATAAAATTCTTACAAACTATAAATATGTAATTTAAAACAAGGGAAATATAAATGAGAACTTCATTTAAAGGTTCAGATTACGTTTCTAAATTAACATTAATAAACAGTATTTAAAATATTCTAAACGTATATAGTAATAATAATACCTTAAACGTGATAAATAGAAAATTAAAACAAATTTAAATTAAAATTATGTTTAAAAAAATTATATATAGTAAAGATTACACATTCTAATCCTAACTTCCTTGACTGTGGTATAATAACAATAATAATTCAGCCTCATTTATTACTTGAAACATTAATTTACTTTTTCAAAAGATAATTAAAATGTTATACAGAACTACAGATTTGTTTTCCAAGGAATTCTTACTGATTAAAGGCCTCCTTCAACTGGCTCCATCTCTCTCTATCTTGATAGAAATAGAGATTTTTCTCCCAATTTGACTATGGTATATTCGAATATCCTTACTTTGGCCACTTCACTTACACAAATTGTATTTTCTTAAGTATACATTTTTAACTATTAACTTGTGTGTATGTTTATTTATTTAAATAAATAAATCGGTACCACCTTTTTAGGTCTGGGCCTCAGATTTCTGTATCTGTTTCATAATGATTTGTTAATCTAATATGCATGCAGTAGGTGATCAGCCTTCTGTGCCTGACGCACGCCTTCGACTTTTTAGGTCTAAGTTTCTTCACGATGTTTTCCTTCACCGTTCGAGCGAATGTTAAATGCGCACATTGCGGGGGTTCGAACCTACGACCTCAGGGATGATAATCGCACACTAGGCCAACACTGCTCTAATGTGTATTTCTTTACATTATTTAATATACCTTTGTGAATTGCGTCTTTCTTCCCATACCCGTATCCGTACCGTTCTCCCAGTATTGTGACGTCACCACCACCGCGGTAACAACTAAGCACCTCGCTTAATCTCTGGACCCTATAATAGATTATTCATATATCCCACAACACAATGGTAGCTAGATAAGAACTAGACTTATGGTATACGAACTTTCAGACGCTATCAATTGCGTAACATAGATATAATACTAGCAGACCGGCCAAGCGTTGCTGTGGCTAAGGTTTTTGTTATATTACATAGTAGTCAACTATTCAAGGGAAACGGTAGGAGAACACCTGTCATGGGGACCACCATGCTTTATTGGTGGTTATGCCATTAAACCGTAGCTTATGTGAAACGTTGGTACTTTCAACACAGCGCCATCTGTTAGAATTGTGACTATTAAATAATAAACAAATATTTTGCAATAAAATAATATTGCGGGTATAAATTGAGATGTAAGCTATCCTATCTTTTAAGTTAGATCAAACTGCACACGGTGTGCAAATTTGATTGATATCGGTTCGGTAGTTAAGGAGTCCATAGCGGACAAACAACGTGACACGTAATTTATATATATTATTAGATAAACACATATACATATAAATGGGTAGGAGCCTCCCCTGATGTCAAGTAATACCAGTATACCACACTCACATTGCCAGAGGGCTGGCGAGCGTTGCCGGCTTTTTTATAATTGGTACGCTCTTTTCGTGAAGGACACTAAGTCGAATTGGTTCGGAAGGCAATGAAGGAAGCTCACCTGATGTGTGCAGTGTGGCACCTGTTCTATTAAAAAAAAGGGTGCGTGTACTTATGTACGCGCGTAAGAAGTTATACTTCTTTGGCAAAATTAAAAAAGTTTTTGATTGCATGCAAATAATTAATTACAATTAAATAATCAAAGACTGGAAAAAGAGTCATTACAGTCAATAAAGTTAGGTTTACATTTGAAAAATTAAATAAATAAATATTTATTATTATTCTCTTACATTAAGTGTAACATAAATTTTATTATTATTCGAATGTTGTTTTTAAATTATGTCCAATGCCGTAGCATCTTCCGTGGGCAACTTCATTCTGTTAATTTTGTGTCACGGTGCGTGCGCATCGTAAAATTTCACTCTCATCAATTTTTCACAACGCGCCTAAAGTATAACTTCAAAAACACCTTTAAATAAGTTGTTTAGACATACATACCCAAGTATAGTATCATCATCAGCCAAGAAAATCCATTTAATTTGCGGCATAGCCTGCACACGTTTCACGACTTCCTTTAAAATCGCGATGGTCTTCATACAATGTCCCGTTTTTGAGTTCGGGAGACCGATGTTCGTGGCTGGCAAACTTGGGTCTGTGAACAAGAATCATCACTCTGGGTCTGTAAGTCATATCGGAGTATCGTGGTGAACTATATATCTTCTTCTATCTTTCCACCGATCTCGACTTTGCGCTTCCTTTACAAGTGTGTATCATTTCGGACTAGTGGGAAAAAGAAAGAGAGGATGCCCACCAAAAACTTGGGAAGATGAAATGAAAGGGATAGCGGGAAAAACTGAAAAATTGTCGCAACAAATAGGGACAAATGGAAGAATCTGGAGGCCTTCACTCCGTCGGAGGTCGAGTACTAGTGTAAAACTTAAAAGACACGGACTTACTGTAGTTATAGTGTACTCGAATAATGGCTATTTTTATTTTTATTTTATTTTCATTTATTGCCTATCACGATGAACTTCTCCAGGGTCTCGTCGCCCCTACGCATTGTGTGACTACGATGTATTATCAGAATAGGAGAAGATTAAACAATTTTAATCCGTAAACACTTAAACCTGAACTTCTGAATTATTCTGCAGATGTTAGGGAGGAAATAGAATTCAACGATTTTAGTAAATATCTCATTCAAAGGCAAAATCGCTACTTTTTGTTTTTTCAGAGCTACAATATTCCACATACCATTCTGATCGCTGAAGAAATGCAAGTGTGTGACATGTCTCCCCATGTCTTCTTTAGTGCGCGCGCGCGTGTCGAGTGAAACGCGCTCCACGTCTTAACCGCGAAGTATATTGATTCTTCAGCCACACTGCCCTGCCAGATATTATTACCATTTAAATGGAATGTAGATAATGTATTTAAATACAGGCAAAATATAATATATTTTTTTACATACTATTTCTTGTTTCTAATTCAAGGTTAAAATCCGTGAATCTTATGTAACATAAACAAATGGTTCGAGTATAAATATACTCTTCCAGTACGCATTTAGAAACACACAGAAAAATAAGCTCGAACAAAAACATATAAAAAAACGTGTGTGTAGGTACTATGTACACGCGTTAGAAGTTTTACTTCTTTGGCATAACAAGATAAAAATCTTTTCAAAACTATTATTCTACGTTTGTAGAAAAAACGACACTTGCAATAGAAAAAACTAAAATTTTGACTATAGCTAACTTCAGGGTGTCGGTTTTTTGTGACGGTGTTAGCGCGCATTGTAAAAATTTAGGTACTCTCATCATTTTTCTCTAACCCGCCAAGCGCGCCGGAGTTGTGACCTGCGAGACGAGGCTGGGAAGGGTAAAATATATTGCCACACCGCAAAGCCCGTGTGGCACACTATAGCTCGAAGTAATTATTGCACCGTTAACGCATCGTGTGGCCGCGCTCTTAGAATATCGAGGTTTCAGGTGGTTTAGCCTCAAACCTTTACGTTCATGTTATCTAAATCTAGCTAAATCTTGAAGCTTTACTCACACATGTATCAAACTGCCTTGGATACGTAGCACAGTTGTCCATAGAGACGACGCAGAAACTCAAATCTCGGGTGAGTAGTGGCCCGGGGCTTTCCCGACTTCCATAAATCAGACGGGCCAGTTCGAACGCCGGGTCTATTGAGAAATCAGCATCGATTTCGACTGTGCCACTTTCCATTTTATCTAAAACACTGTTGAACCAATGATGATTTATAAATTTATTTCACAAATTGGTCACAATTACTCCGACCACCGAAGCATCGACATTCATAACAAAATTTTTATAATACCTAAATCTATATAATTACTACTAGAATTCATTACTAAAAATTCAAAAATTCTTAACTTATAGTCCAGAATGTGGAATGCAAAATTTACATAATAAAAAAATGTTTTTGGCGTGTTAGCGGTCAGCACATTTCTTTATTTGTATAAAAATAATACTGAAAAAAAAACCGGGACAATTAGTAAAAAAAATGTACCAGAATATTGCTTCCAAATATAACGAATTATCTCTCGCTGACTACCATTGCTGAAAAACCTCAAAACTAATTACCCATGTACAACGTTAACCCAAAAGTTTTTTCATTTTACGGTTTTTATAACAATTATTACGTTGTACCTAGTTTGATTTCTATTAGTACTAACGAGAAATATTTTCAAAACAGTACTGTATGCAATATGCATATAATTACAGAAATGTATAAGAAAATGTGATAACTTATATATAACACTAAACATTCACGGGCCTATTGAGAAGATTAAAAAGGACAGCACCATTTGAGTAAGTGAAATAGTGTTAGTGCACGTTAGTTTTAACTGCTAATTATTAGTAACTGAATTTTTTTATTCGGAGTGTCTTCCCCTAACACTGTTAGTAAATTAGGTTAAAATTAAATTACTCTTTAGTATAAGTATCGCAATACAGCGAGGAAACGCTGCCAGCGTTAAAGGTACACTGACTAGGACCCAAACTTTGTAAATTTGCTTTAATTTTGTTCATTTAATAGTAATAATAAAAATAATTAATTATTTGTAGGTTAAGAAAATTGTAAAAACAAATTATACGTATGTAGCATGGTTAAATGATTCAGATATTTATTTCTTTTAGTCTCAAGTTTAGATCGTAATGTTCAATGATGTCTTAGTAAAAAGACAATTTATAAAAAAAACTTTGAAAAATAATGAGATTATTTCTTAAACGAAAAAAAAACTAAACTTACAACGTTGATTGAGGATAACTTTACAACCACTAGCATGATTATATTCTGTTATATAGATAGCTAAGAATAAATCTCTTTCTCTTCTGACCTTTCTATTAATCCCATCTTCATAGCGAAACCGCTGGCGAAGTTGGGATATACAAAACCACCATCGTCTTCCAATTCCTCAAAGTGCGTAAAATGGTGAATGATTGTCGGTTCATCGTCACTTAACGGGTACCCCACCCACATTACATCCTGTCAAAATTAACAAGGACTTAATTAAAATTCACTTCTTTCATCAATGCGATATTATGTATTATATAACAGCAGTGTTGGCCTAGTGGCATCCGTGTGTGACTCTCACTTTTGAGGTCGTGGGTTCGCACCCCGGCTGTGCACTAATAGACTTTCTGAGCGCATTTAACACTTTCTCGGACGATTAACGAAAACATCGTAAGGAAACCAGCATGCCTTAGGTATACCAAAGAAGTCCTCGGCATGTTAGGCACAAAACGCGAACTATTTATCTAGGAAAAACATATGATAACGAAACAGATACAGCATTCTAGAGGCTAAACCCTTAGAAGGTTGTATCCCTACTGTTTTCAATTAGAATAATTTAAGCATACAACAATAGGAAACAGTACGTAATTCCTACAACTCCTGATACCTTCTGTTTATCAGCTGCAGCCAGAGCCTCGAATAGTTTTCCACAACGCACAGCCGTGTGAGGCTCCAAAAATAGGACCCATCGTACATCGCTACCCTTGTACTTTGTGAACAGAGGCCGAAAGAGGGGAATCACTGTCCACGCACCGGGAACTGAGAAATCTTCGTGTGTTATGTGTGTAATTGCTTCTCGCTAAAAATATTTCTACCATTAATAAGGCATGCTGAGATGTTAGTTTAATCAATACAACTTTGATTAAAAATTCCGTAGACACACTAGTAACATTTCGAGAGGTGATTATAATTATAAATATATTCCAAAGGCGTAATATTGTTTGACGTCTTTTAATGTGCACATAGATGAACTTAGTTTTAATTGAGACATAAGACGAGCGACTTCGTCCTTTAAAATTATATTGAATGCTAGGCCACTAAGAACGCACTTGTGAGCATTCTGGCAATGTGATAATGGGCGGAGATACCATCAGAGTTTCCTGACCATTAGTCCTCTGTTAAATAAAAAAAAACGTGCTTACTGCAGACAAGATCCGCAAACATTTATATAAATGACTTTACTTTTAATTTTTTGGTAGAAAATTAATAATACTACTATATACTCGTATAACAGAAATATTGAACTTATACTCACGCCTTCCAATTCATAGACCTGATTCTCAATGTCCAATTTGAGTCGGCTCGCGACGCTGGCGTGGTACGGCTCAGACTGGCCGATTATCGTAAACACAACGTTTTTTGAATCTGCAACAAGTCATGTTTTTATGTGTAATTTAATAAAATATATCCCAAAATTATAAAAATAGTAATCCGTTGGTTGTTATTGGGTTTTTTAAAAGGAGAGTAACAGCAGAATGAAGTTACAAGAAAAGCTAGAACTTTTCATGGTAAAACACGCTGCGAATAGAATCGTTAAGTATAGCTTTCAGCAGTACCTTAATAATTTAAATATCTTATTCACTCAGTATCAAAAAGTACCCACATAGTTTGTTTAGGATATTTTTTAAATAATCCTTATACAACGACCTCAATGATTTATAATCCAGCAAAGCGTGATAATTTAGCCATAAATAGATTGCACAAATCCAATAATTCTTCGGAGCATAATCAAAGCGTGTAGTGAACCGTTTGAACACGGTGCGCTTATCAGAAATCGATATCGATATGGTAACGACATCATCAAATTATGACAAATAGCTTTGAGCTCGTGAAGCCTGCGGGAACATCCATCATGTGAGGCGTCAGGTACGTCCCGTCAAACTGGAGATTAAACAGATCACGTTGTAACGGCGATGATAAAACAATGGTAATACGATATCATTAATATTTATTTTATAAATAATTCGTGGAATAAGTACAATAATGATTATTTTTATGATATTATTATAATGTTAACGTTTGTGATAGTTGCAAAAAAATCTTAAATTTTCGAAAAAACATTTGCCAAAAAACTGCTCACATCAAAGGGCACATCCAGGAGTATGCCTATCAATTTACCATCGCCGATACACAGTCGCAGGGCCAGAAGACTCGCGAGTGCGTTGCCAACCTTTTAGGAGAGTCGGTAGGCACTTTTCTTGATGGACTCTAAGTCGGAAATATCTCGATGGGCAGTTGGGTCTACACTCTACATACTGGTGGTGCGCGGCAAAAAGTGCCTTAGGAAGCGCTCAATAGTGGAACAAAGGAAATCAAGGTGATACAAGTGAAATTTCGTCCGTTACGAAAACGCTGAATTTCCTAAATGAAGTAGGTACTTTTCATAAAAGGTAATAAGAGTGATTGCTCTGTAAATAAACAATTTTTTTTTAAAAAGAACATCTTATTCAGGGAATTAGAATTTCACAAGTATTTAAATATACTGCTCTAAGTTTCTATACAATTTGGACGAATTCAGCACAACCCCAAGCTTCCAAACAAGAAACAAGTGCAGATGACAAACTGCAGTAAGGCCGATGAATAATTCAGAAGATAATAACCTGTGCAAAGTTGGTTGCAATCCGAAAGTTTTCGGGTCGGATTTTATCGCGTCCAAAGTTCGCGTGAACTCGCGCGTCAATATACTTCACGTTTGGCAGTGTCGGGAATTGGAAACTTTATTACCTACATATACGTTAAATTGATTTAAATGTTTATATATTGTGAAATAAATCACATTTAGTAATTATGCGAAACTTAATTATTTTAAAATGTAAAATTAATTAAGGTTGTATTATTTAATTATTGTATTATCTTCTTCTTCTTATAGTGCCATCTCCTTGCGAAGGTTGGCGATCATCATGGCTATTGTAATTTTTGATGCCGCGCTTCTAAACAATGTCTTGGTGCTTTGACCAAACCATTGTCTCAAGTTTTTCAACCAGGACGTGCGTCTGCGGCCAGGTCTCCTTCTACCTTCTATTGTATTATAAGAAAAAAAATTTGGTTGCTACAAATTTACATTTTAAAATGATTTGCCATATTTAGTTAAAAACCACTCGCAAAATAGGCCTAAATAGATAGCATATTCACAGAAAGCAACAATTTTGAGCTTGTCATGTTAAAACAAAAACTTCGCGCTTATTTAAAATCCCCGCGTAATTTCGTTTAATCGCCTTTAAAAACGCCTCAGAGTGACACTCTCCTCGCCGTAATGTGTCGTATCTCAGGTGCACCTACATTATTCATAGCTCGCGAATTTATTTGACTAAGATTCCCTTCGAAGATAGGGTCAGGGATAAGCCATTTGAGAATTTTTCCACTTGGTCGAGCGTAGTAACTCATGATTTATGTAGTCAAAAGAATTTAAATCTTAGACATGAGTTGAGTGAAATTAATGTAACTGTAATAATACTAACGGATAGAGGCAAAATTTATATTAATTGTGGCTTTTAGTCTCTGCGATAAACACTTCTTCATAATTATAATTAAGTAAATCCACTCAGACTTAGAGAAGTTACGATCCAATCATTTATATATACCAATGGCGCTACAATTAGGTCTGGGCTTCAGATTTATGTATTAGTTCCGTTATCATTTTGTAATAGGCAAGTAGGTGATCAACCTTCTGTGCCTGACACACAACTGCAACTTTTATGGTCTAAGGTTTACTCACGATGTTTTCCGTATGTTTTCAGCCAGGGATCGAACCTACGACTGCAGGTTCTATACCAAAATCGTTCAAAATCTATTATAATTAATATAAAATTCGTACAAGATCCGCAACCTCCCCGTGGGGCGACGGACATTTGTTTGTTTCCCCAAATATATGCCAGTCATCGAACTTCTGGGTCGAAATATAACCTTAATTATATAGATTTATAATTCTTATATATAATCAGCAATATGCATTATTAAAAAACAATAACTGCTTTTACAGTACCCAATTGATAATTCTATTTTCGAATTTGATATTCCATATCGCCGCGGGCTCAACTCAATTTTCTGTAATATACCCCGGCTCCCGATAAGGTGCAAATAGCTCTGAACGTCATAAATAATTCGTAGCTTCGAATCGGATTCTATTCAAATCTACTGGAATTATCCCAATCCACGCCATCCGACAACTCTATGACTATATCGGCTACGTCATTTACAATAGATAATAGAGCAACAGACTCGTATAAAAGAACAGTGTATAAAAGAATCAATATTTATAAACATTGACACTACAATGGAACCTTTACTGATAATATTAGCAGGTTCTGCGTTTGTCCATTTTTCGTTTTCAAATATTGTGGAAGTGGAACCAGGATTGGCAGGAAATCAGCGCAAGCTACGGTTTGTCTGGAACGTGATGAGCCAGCTGCCTTTTGTCTCACAGAATATATCTGAAGCTCTTCTTATGCGTTTAATGTGTTAAAAAAGATTAGTTTGTAAGTAAGATTTTAGCTTCTGACAAAAGTGTGTTAACTCTTAAGAATTACGAGTCAAAAAATAAGAAAACTGGAAACGCATAGAAATTTAATTCGTTGATATCTATTACTAATAAATTAACTTTTAATTGATTGAAACATACTACAGTTTCCATCAATCAAGACTACAGTTAAAACAATTCTGCCTCAAAACGCCTAGGCAAATACTAACGAATGTTCCCAACTAACGATTATAATTTCTGCGGCACGTGCAGAAAACGAAATAAAATCGTTCAATTGTCGCCAGCACCTTGTCGAGTGCACATCAATAATTCGACTCCGGCCAGTGGAACAGATTTCCAGACTCCTGCGGGAACCGACCCGGTACCAAATAACCTATTTATTTATTCATTTTCTCAACGTTTACAAATACTTACGCTTCACGTAAGCAAGCGTGTTTACACTTCAAACACTACCTTGATTAGGAGTATGTTGATTTTGTTTACTGTATTTTGTTCAAATTTTACTGATACAAATTACTCAAAAAGAAAAACAAGAAAATATGGATAAACAAAGAATTTTCCTATGGAATTAAGAAAGAAATAAAAACTTGAATAAAAAAAATTATTTAAACATATTCTGTAATGATAAAGATGAAGTACAGAAATAACAAGTAATAAACATTATCAAATACTTTAATATAATAATAATATTAAATGATTTGTGAAATTAAAACTACACTGTAAAGTCTATTACAACTGGTTAGAAATATTTGAATGAAATCCATGAAAAATATGTTATTAATAAATATGATTTAATAAGAAAAACCGCTTTTGTCAAGGCAGTAAGTCACACAGAGTGTTGTGACCATCAAATTTTAAAATTACGACCACAAGTTATATTTTTGTTTTTACACCTAAGCGTATTAACGGTGAATCTCACTTTCTATCACTGCATATTATAGCCAACAAGTGAGTACACTGACGCACTCTGTATTCCAAAAAAATCTTATAGGCCAAGCATACACCAATGAAGACGGTAGACCGACAGCTTCACGTGGTCATTTGTAGCTTGCTATTACAATAAATATTCAAGATATGTCAATCAAGTTGTGTACTAAATCAGAAAGGCATTACCATAAGTGGTAATCGTTGCCTTACAAGACTTTAGTTGACCTAATTAGCACATTAAAAGAAGATGCATACGTCACCCTATCACGAGTGCATCTGAACATCTAACGGCTATATCGCACTTAAGTAGCTAGTAAGTGATATTATCTAGTTCATAGTTTAAAACTTGAAAGGTAAGGGTTTAGTCTAGACAACCTGACCTCGATACAGCCGTGTGTCCCATCACCTGGTAAACATAGTTTAATATTAATAAGAAAACCAATAAAAAAACAACTCATAACGAGCTAGGTCTGGATATCCATAGTTCCTCCCCTCACACTTTGAAATCAATTATATTTATGAATCGATGTATGTTTTTTCTTTTCGTGTCTGTTATGTTTGCCTATAAGTGTATGTCTATTGAAATCTTGTCTTTTATTTTTCTTAAGTACTAATGTATCAGTATGCCGAGCGTTGGAAAGCTTTTGTAAATAAATAAATTTCAAAAGTACAAAAGCATTTGTTAAATGTGCCAAACGAACAGAACGTCTAGAAGAAACCTCATAAGCTGTTTAAAACAGCTTATAAAGCCTACTGAATCTTTATTTTTAAATCAATATAGAAATCTTACGTACCTACACAAAAAATTTCATGTCTAACTGTATGAAGCCTTATTTCCAATAGTCTTAGCCAATCCTTAGAAACACTATCGAATATTTTATGAACGTTCGAAGGACCATATTACTTCGGAAACATTTTGACGGGCTGGTTTTACGTTCTAGTACCTAATGCACAGTTATGAAACGACGGAAAAAGAATCACCATTTAGGCTATGTTCACATTAACGCTTAACGCGCGTCAACGCGCGATCAAATTGAAGAGCGTTCAGATGATGAGCGCAAGCGCGTTGCGAAGTACTCGTCAGTCTAGTTCGGTAGAACGTAGAAAATGGACGTGGAAGAGGCTATTATTTTGTGGTTATATTATAAAGAAAAATATAGAAAAAGAAAACGTACACATTGGGTTTACCAATTTTGAAAAAAAATACAATTTATAATATATTTTTTATACAAATTTGCTATATTCCAACTTGCTGACCTTTTTTCTACTTCATCGATTAGTAAGTCGATGTCAATATCTTCAATTTCCTCATTTTAAAAGCGAGAACAAAATATAATTACGAAAATTAATAAAATTACATGCGATCGCGATGAAAGCGCGCGCTCATCTGAACAGCAAACGGACATTACATTAATATCAAGCGCGCGTCACGCGCGATCATCTGCGTCTAGAGACTTTTTCTCTGAGCGCCGCGTTGACGCGCGTTAACGCGCGTTGACGCGCGCTCATGTGAACAGTTGTATGAAAATACCACAATGTCTAGTCGCGCGATTTGAAAACGCGCGTCAAGTTTTTGCCATCTGAACATAGCCTTAAAGAATCCAATTAAGAAAAGTAACATTAATTTTTTAAATTTTTGTGAAATGCTAACAAGGCTTTATCTACATCACTATAATTCGGTAATGTACTTCACGGTCAAAAACATCGCTGTAACTAGATAAGAAAGAACTCCGAGGCATTTCCTTGGAATGGAAATTCTAATAAGACTTCTTTATAAGCTTTATCAGATTTAGCTTCAGACGTCGATATTTTATTTCAGACTGCACTCATAAGTCTAATAAGTAATAAGAATAACATTCGACTGTGATCATGTCTTTATTAGACGATGAAAATAATATATACTGCTCAAAACAATTAGCGGAACAAGATTTTTCTCCTTTCTATTGCTTAAACTAAAATTAGATTTAAATTAACTTGTACGCTATTTTTTACCTTGTTAATTTGTTAATTACTACAATTAATAAAAAAAATCAATTTGTATTCTTTTTATTAAAAAAAAATTAAAATGTGCATTGTAGACGAAAAACAAAGTGACGTCTTTGAATTTTCATTACTTTCTAATCACAGAAAACACATTTTAAGTAGTTTTTTTCAATCTTTTGAGTATTAATAGAAATTGAAGTGAGCCTTTTGATTATTGTTATTCATTGAAGCGAGTGAGTTTAGGTCATAATGCCAGATCTGACTGAATTGCATGTCTCCCGAGCTATCGCTTTGCTTGAAGAGGGTCGAACTATGCGTTATGTAGGAAATGATCTAGGAGTAGCCCCTTCTGTTATCTACAGACTTTGGAAGCGATACCGTGAGACGGGAGAATACTCACGAAGGCGTGGTCAAGGTCGAAAGAGAAAAACTACACGTTTGCAAGATCGCTACATCGTCAACTGTGCTTTACGTAACCGCACCACAACTGCAAGAGATCTACAAAATACACTACACAAAAAACAACACTACACTAAGGACGGCTACTGGTGTAGAAATTTCCGACCAGACGGTAAGAAATAGGTTGTTGGAAGCCAATTTGAGATCACGCCGACCAGTTCGGGCTGTGCGTCTAACAATTCAACATAGACAAGCTCACCGACAGTTCGCGCAAAATCACGCTAATTGGCAACTTAGACATTGGAGGCCAGTGCTTTTTACTGACGAATCACGATTCCGTCTAACATGTTGCGATGGTCGTCTCCGTGTTTACAGACGCCCAGGCGCGCGATACAGTGCAGCAGCAGTCCAGGAATATGACAAATTTGGATGTGGCTCTGTGATGGTTTGGGGCGGAGTTAGTTTGGACGAGCGCACAGATCTCGTCGTTGTTCCCGGGCGCTTGTGTGCTCAAACTTACATTGAAAATGTGCTCGAAGATCATGTTTGGCCCGCAGCATATGGTATGGGCCCAGATTTTCTTTTAATGCAAGATAATGCCAGGCCGCATACTGCAGCCATCACGTCAGATTACTTCGACAGAGGCCAGTGCTTTTTACTGACGAATCCGTTCCGTCTACATGTTGCGTGGTCGTCTCCGTGTTTCAGACGCCCAGGCGCGCGATACAGTGCA